GGGGGTTGTATTAATGGACGAAGGCGTACAACACATATTTTAGGGATTGTGGCTCCGACGAACGTTAGCGTGCGCTGTCACCCCCTACGCCGCGAGGATGGCGATAACTACATAAATGTGTCTGCGCTATGAAGCGCGAATCAAGCAAATTGGCTCGGATAGCGCGATCACGTAAATGGGCACGACAAGAGTATTCGGTCAATCGCAGAACGATGTTGAAGCTGCAACGAGGCCCAGATGAGTCCTAGTCGAACTGCCGAAAATCCCGATCAGTAGTGTGAAAAAAAACTCTCAGTCTCTATTGTTGATTTAGTACTCTCGTAATGTTCATGAACTACGGTTTCAATTTACCATTATTTTCGTCCACGGTCGAGTACCAATACAAAAGGTCTCCAGGACGGCAATGGCTCTGCCTCGAGCCAAAAAGCGCTCGGCTACTGTCTTCTCTCGCGATGAAATCGGTGTTGAGCAGCTACAGTCACTCAAGGAGAAGTTCGCCGATGGCGACTTGACCGAGAAGGAGTTCGTGAGTCTCTTCCGAGAGATCGTGGACGCCTCGCTCAGCGAGACACAACTCACTGAATTGTACGCTCCTCACCACTCTTCAACTTACCTTTATTGTCAACCAATGCTTGTTTTGTCGTTTAGATTCCAGAAGATCGATGCGAATTCCGATGGAACGGTAGACTGGGACGAGCTCACCAATGTACGTAGAGCCTTTCACGCTGTATTCACTCCCTTGCTAATGATTGACTTGGATTAGTATATGTTCCTCAGCGGTAGCGGCAGTGATGAATACACTGGAGACGATGGCAATTCCTGCTATGAAACTGCGTACCCAGAAAAATACACAGGCGATACTGCTGGAAGCACAGGAGTGGCCATTCCGACTGACGTTATGGGCAACGTGACAGGAGGTAGTGGCGGATCACTTGGTATGGGCTTACTACCACATCACAAGGACGTGATCACTCGAATTGTACGCTTAGAACGACCCAGCGTCTACCTCACGACCAGTAAGGATGGTAGCGTACGTACCTGGAGTGCGAATACTCTAGCTCCACAGCAAGTGTTAGCTTCCGGACGTGACTGGCTTACAGACTGTTGCGTCATGAAGCGTTCCAACCGACTGGCAGTGTCGTCCATGAATCGCACCTTGAGCTTCTACGACTTGAACTCTGGTCAACTCATCGGTGACCTAGTGGACTATTCAAGACGACAGTGTATCCCGCTGTGTCTGGCTTACGTTGAAAGACCCTCGGACGATCGTGAAGCCATTGTGGTTGGCGACGACACTGGCGGCATCTCGATTTTTACCTGCTCGGATCAATGGTTAACGTGCGATGGACGTTCTCCTCCACCTGGATCTACTGCTACTTCGAACTCTACCAACGCTAATAGCAACGCGAGTGGCGACTCAGGACCAGCTGCATCGGGCTCTTCAACAGGAAATAGTGCTGGGAATCCAAGTCAAACAGCTACACCGACTAGCAACTCCAATTCCATGGGTGGTAACCCTGCCGGTAGTGCGATGCTGGAAGCTCAGGGCTTTGCGTCGCGCGTCAAGTTCCAGAAGCACACGGACTGGATCACTCGTGTTAAGTGGGTCAACGATATGCGAGCTGTAGTGGCGACGTCACTAGACGCCACTGTGTCGATCCTAGACGTTGATCGACTGGTGGTCAAGTTCGAGTACACTCGTCATCGCAAGGGGGTGTTTGACTTGGCCTGGTGTGCCAGTACTCGACTGATCGCTAGCTGCGGCATGGAACGAGATATCCACATCTGGAACCCGTACAGCTCCCAGCGAGCTGTCGCTACACTCAAGGGCCACACGAGCTCAGTGCTGCATCTCGTGAGTGATGACGAGAACTTCCAGATCGTGTCGGCCGCTGCAGATAACACTGTTAAACTCTGGGATGTTAGAAACCACCGCTGTCTGCAGACATTCATCGTAGACCGGCACAGAGGAGGCAACTCGACTAGTGCTGGAGCTACGGGGAATGCAGCGTCGATGTATACTGGAGTGTCTGGGGCGAATTTAAGCGCCGAGAACCGAGTATCTGCGTTGTTGTTTGATGGTAAGAAACCGTGTCTTATGACTGCAACGACGCAGCTCACTCGATGGACAGTCAAGTCTACAGACGCAGGCTCACAAAGCGTCGATGACATGGATGAAAGCGCTGACGCGTTATCTGCTAGGAAGACTAAACTACGAGGTGGTGCCCCCGTGGAGCGTCCTGTGCGTCTGGCATGTTACAACAGCGTGTTCCATCAAGTAGTGACGGCTGCGATGGACGCCGAGTCTGCCATCAAGACGTGGAGCGCAGAAACCGGAGAAGAGATCTCAAGCTTCGCACATCCACACGGTTTTAATCCAGTTACCAGCATCGCGTTCGATCATGCAGGACGCAGACTTCTGACGGGCTCACACGACGGCGAGCAGCTCAAGATGTGGAATTTCAGCAACGGAGCGCTGGTTAAACAATTCCACAAGAAAGAACCTTCAGTTGTGAGCTCGTTATTGTTCACGACTACATCTGCAACGGCTGGAACAGTGGCCAGTACTGCGCCACTACCCGATGATCCGAACGGAAGCTCTGTAGCTGCTATTGCGCATATACCTCGAAAGCGCAAGCCTCGAGACGTTATGCTGCTGCCTGCATCCTTTGGAATGGATCACGAAGGCCGACGAGGCAACTCTGCGTTGATGGCACAGACAGAACTGCCGTCTCCGACACGTGTGCGTCTCCAACATGGCCAAGATCACCCCACACCGGTGCCTCCAGCCAATTCAACGCCTCGATGTCCGACTGAAGCTGTGAGCGCTAAACTTCGAACCGCAAGGACCTCCGAGACTTGTCGGTATCGACAGCACGAAGTTACCAGCATCATGGACATCGAACGCAACCTTCGTGTAGGTATGGGAGACTTTATCTGCCAGAGATTCGTGTGTTGTGTAGGCTGGGACCGTCAGCTATTCGTGTGGGCCGATAACAATGACGAGTCCGAGGCGCTTCCGGTGCATGTGCTTCCTCCAGACAGCGACGATGATAGCGATGACTCAGGACATTCAAGACGTGGCAGACGACGGCGCAGTCGACAGCATCATACGATGGATGTACTCGCGTTGGCGTACTTGCCACCGGCTTATGTGGCGACTGCGGGGTTGGATGGCTTTGTGTTGCTATGGTCACTTAACTCTGGGGAGTTGGTAGCTCCACTGCATCAGAATTCTGGGCCCATTGAAGCGCTATGGTACGCCGAGAAGCTCGAACTCCTGTTTGCTGCAGGCGAGCGAGGTGTTTTACTGTGTTTCGATCGATCCATGGCTACTCAAGCTGAGATTCCACTGGATGTGTCAGTTCAAAGCTCAGATACTTCTGCTGGCAGTCTGGAGTCGATCACTGTACTGCGATGTGATAAAGCCAACACGCACCTTGTCTCCGGAGACGCTGTCGGTTGTATCAAAGTGTGGGAGCTTCGTATTGCACGAAACCATGAAGGAGTGGAGCTTGCGTTGGTCTGTACGTGGCGTCTTGGCAGCCAAACCGGAGCTATGAGTTCGCTGTCTGCTCCAAGTCGTCGCGTGCTTTGTGCTGACTTTGTCGAGAATGTATCTCGCGTTCCTGAATTGTTTTTAGTGTTCTCGTGTGCTGATGGGGAGGTGAGTATGTGGACGTTAGACGGCGTAAAAGTTGGCAGCTTTGGAGGTCGCCACCGCGCGTGGCAACTCGGCCGACCAGCTACCTACGCGTTCTCCCAATCCTGCTGTGACTGGGGTTGGCTACCTCAACGAAGGTCTCAAATGTCGTCTATTATCCGTGAAGAAGCCGAAGAAATGGACGACACAACTACCAATGCACTGCAGCCTCCTACGTCCGTCTTCATCAAGAACTGTGCGATCAGTGCCCTCAATTGTTCAATCTCGGAGCCACGCGAGAATTTCTTGCTGGAAGACACCATGCCGAAGCCCGGAGAAGTCTGGATGTGCGTATCTGGTCACCGATCGCGAGCTGCAGCGCTGAACGCGGCCAAGAAGCAGGAGGGTACTGATAGCGAGGATAGTTCCATGCGTACTGGTCGAAAGAGCTTGGCGCTGTCTACTGTGGGTAATGCTGCCATTCTCAGTCGACGAAGCAGTCCATTTGGATCCAGCAACAACATTCAGCAACGGAGTCTGGCGACGACTTCGTATCTCAAGAGAAAAATCGCAGACGTCAATGGAGAACTCACCGATCTCATCACAATTGTCAAAGTCACTCGAGGCGAGGTAATTTATCGCAACAAACGAAAGCGAAAGAATGATAGTAGAGCTGATCTGGAACTTGTGGCTGTAGATTTTTTACTGGGATAGCGCAGCAAACAAGCCACTTCATGCATTGAAAGTGCTAAGCATGAGCGACTTTGTACGTAAAACTGGCTGGACCAAGCACGCTCTACTCTCGCACTTCATTGGACGCACATTCTTGTAAGTTTTACAGCTCTTAACTGTCATTAGTATGTGTGAGTCGTACCTTATATCTGTTGTTATCATTTTAGGGATGGCGAAACTTGCTTCCGCGTTGCAGCCATCGTCATGCGGTCTCTTGATCCGGTGAGATTAGAAAATGTACTGCGATTTTTAGCGTATTATTCATTTTTCTAACTTGTAGCGCTGTGGTAGACAAAACCTGACAAGAAAACTTACACCTTGGTCGATTCGGAGGCGAAGGACCACGCGCTCCAGCCACTGAATGAAGCAGTTTCCTCTGTTCGGTTCAAGGCGTTTGAGTCGTCTCGAAGTGAACAATCACAGCGCAATGCCGCGCCATCCTCACCGCGTCGACGAACAACTTTTTCTTCAGTTTCCGGTAACTCTTTGGGGACCCAACAATTGCAGACAGCGATGCAAACTATGACTGTTGCGGATCAAGCACTCAACGACCTGATCGCAGGCTCTACTGCCAATCCATCATCAAGAGGTAGTACGCCCGAAGCGCTAGCACTGGCCAGTAGTGTTGGCATGGGAGCTCGCACTCTACCGCTTATTCGACCGCGCGAGAAGCGTGTTATGGGTGGTCTCCTTCCAAAACGCTCATCTGTGCGGAACCGCATGGACCCTGCAGCAGACATCCGTCGCATTCACAACCCAGACGATATCCCAAAGAACTTCCGCGCCATGCTACAGCGGAAACGAGATAACAAGGATAGTAGCTTCGAGGGGATCCTCCCTGAGAGTTGAGATTTCCATTGGATCCACTTAGAATATATTGCGGCTGCACGATTTTATGCATCGAGCCGACAACAATTTGGCTTCAAGCATTACTTTAACGGTGAACGAAACATGAAATAGTGCAACATGTAAGACCCCGTCGCCTTCGTGGAGGGGTGAAGTGATATTAATTTCGTTTGCTTCGAGAATTGTACGACCAGAACTCTAATAGGAGATCAACTGGTTGCCATACTACGTTCCAGTATCGATTGTAGACGAAATACTGGAAACTAGATGATTTTCGCTCTCAAATTATTGGACGCCGAGTTCTACATGTTATAATATTCAGCTTGTGTAGTAGAGGAAAGGAGTATATTGTTACATGGACCAGAAGCGGACTTACTTACTTTAATAAAGTAAAAGGTATCATGACAACGCTACAAATGGGTAGATTTTAGTTGGTATTTTCAAAGACTAAGTGTCGTCAGTGACGGTGTCCTTGCATACGTTGGTGAATGAATCAATGCCAATTTAGAGACATTTCGTAGCCTCTTTTTTAGTTGTTTCTAAACCACAGTATTTTAGAAAATGATAATAGGTATTAATAAAACAAAATATGAAGAATTCAAATACTACTAACACTTAGAAATATTACTTTTGCAGAAAAGTTTGATACTACTTTTATGCAGAAAAAATATGATTTGTTAGTGGACCGATTCCCGTTGGAACTGTCGCGCACTGATTTCGACTAAATCCTCGCGGACAGATTCGTAGATCCCGTTGTTTCTATCTGTTAATGGATGTACAGATCTCGACTGGATTGCGTGGGTTTAAATGGCCATAGTGATATCAAGTTTATTTATTTTAGCCAGTGTAGAAATCTGTCGAAAGGGGTTGTTACCCCTGACAGAAGTGAAAATCTGTCGGATTCTGTCGGGTCGCTTTGATTGGCCGTTCTATGGCCATTTAGACGAAATCTGTCCGAAACCGAGGCCAACAGATCCTATGTGATTTGGTCCAGTGGAATTAAAAATCTGGATAAAATCTAGATAAATGTCGAGGAATGGATAATATAAAGAGAAAATTTCATCACGTTATTTGCTACACCTATTAATGCACTAAAACTTGACTCTTTGTATTAGACGGTTCGAGCTCGATACACCGGCAAGATGCTACAGAAGCTGGACTTATCTCCACTTCTCATCCGCGCTAATACAGTGAACGACGGCGCTGGAGTGAAGAAGATGCACGAAATTGGAGATATGCAGCGGTGTGTGTAGCTAGCTATCTTATCGTGATAAGTGAAAGCGCGAGAACTGCTTCTTCGCCGGGGCTGCCCACCAAAGAATAACATCCCCACACCGCCACAGCATTAGACAACGTCTTTTACTAAATGCAAGAACCCTTAGGTAACTCAGCAAGTTATCATTTGGAAATTGACAACCCAAGATAATATCAATATGAAGCCGCCAAGCAGACATTCTTCACTGCATGTACGTGCTGTTCCACACCCAAGATAAGCATGGGTGGAAATCAGATCGACGTTACCGACGTGAAAACTAAAGAGGGTGCGTTGTATGCAAAAAGAAATCAGACGGACACGAACTGCACTTCTAGCCAAGAAAAATGGTGCCCTGCTTTAATCATTTAAATGCTAGAAACGATATGTTGGAATGCAGTGGATCCTCGACAATATGGTAAATCTGAATAAGTGACGGATAGATCGCCGATGGATGCTCTCACTGGAATATATTCTTGAACAAAAAAAAGTTGTCTGGTGATTTCATCCGTGTTGTTCCAGAAACCAAGTTTTTTTTTTCTTATATTTGAAGATAAAAGTAATACCTCCAGGAACTCGGCGCTTCGTATTAAGAGCTCCATACTTCACAGTTAGATATTATCACGAGCAATCATTTGTCATCGCGCCCGTACTTGCACCGCGCAAGGGACCGCCAACGCTACCTTTGCTACTAGACAGTGGCAGTGTACTTACACCAGTAGTTTAGACTACTGATGTAGCCCCGACGGTTGATCTTGCTGTAGCTTTATAATATGATTCTAGTTTTGTAGTTGCACGAAATAATCAGCAAGCCAGAAACGGCATTCTTTTGGCAAATTAGTTGACCGGGCGGAGCCCACTGGTGCTGTGGTGGGCGCCGATTAAATGCCTCGGGGCACTCTGTGGCTTGATTGGGTAAACTGCCGGGTGCCCCCGTGACAGACTCTGTTGGTGGTGCTGTGTCTAGCTTAGTGCTGCTGCCAGTTTGTTTCCGAAAACTTTTACCCTTGCTGCAGCAGAGGCCACCTCCTGGTTTCTCGGGGCTGATGCAGTGCTCGCGTTAACCGCATAAAACACAAAAGGAAAACTTTTACTGGCCCAAGCAATAACCAGCATGACAAGCTCAAGAGTGTACAAATATTGTGCGAAGCTAACTGTTGAGCGAAATGAAAGCTACCGTGTTTCCGTTTACGCATTTCCTAGAATTAATCTGTTGAGGACTGCCCATGCTGTACCCCAAGTATAATTATTAGATCTTGAAATTGTGGCGGTCCGATCGAGTCACGTTTCTGCATGACGAAACGATGCGTTGTAGACCGTAGGTGTTATGCTTTTGTTTTACCAGCCAGTGTCGTTTTATTGAAAGCCAACTCCACAGCGCGTGCTGTAATGGAATACTAATAAAAAGCATGAGGAAAATAAGATCCTCGTTATGCTATTTTTGTCGTTCTTGATTCAAGTAAACTAAAACTTGAATGTTATAGTACCTCAAGCGTACCTGAGCTACTACAGGAATGTACTACAATAATATTATTCTGGTAAGAGTTCTACGTTTGACGCGTATTACGTTGTGGTGGAAATTCTTTTCTGGGCTTCCTATCTCAACACGACAACAATATTCACAGACAACCTAGCCTTGAGCGCCTTTACCGCGTCGTGTTGTATGTCGAAGGACTCCGTTTTGACTATTGAGACGTGTGTTTGATCAGAACAACCCCGGGAATATCTCGAAGTATTTCAGCCTGATGGCGAGCTTGGGTAGGTCGGCATTAAGTATCCTGACTCGGGTGAGGAACTGAAGCGCCGACATACCTACACGACGAACAACCCAGGGATATCCTGGATATCGCAATTCGTGCCTCTGGAAATGCAAAGCGTTCGCACATCACCTGGTTCTGTACAGGCTATCACTTTTCCACATAAACATTGAAACTGCATGCATGTTTACAGGTTACTGAAGCGCAATTACCTAAAATGACGCATGACCCAGACGAGCTATTTCGAAGGAATCGAATAGTTACAATTTATAAGTTTCGTAGTGAAGTTACTGTTCGCCTAGTATAATAGCTCTATGGAATCCGAAAGCTTTATTAAACTGCCTTCGCTTAGCTACTTAGGCAGTAGCACTAAGCTACGATACGCGCTTCGTATTGTGCTAATTCTTTCTTTCTCCTGTGCGAAAGCGCATTTTCTCTCATCACTTTGGTGCCGTCCACGTAGATGTGGACCATGTTTTTGATGGAATTCCGGCTCAATTTTTATCGGATTGAGAGAAACACACACGTTTACGGGGTATCAACTTCGAAATAACCCCACCCCCATAGTCAAAACATTGCGCATACGCGTTCTCTAAGAGTAGTGATCTCAATGGTCGATATTAACTACCATTTGCAAAGTTTCGTGGTGTACTTAATTAATGCATATTTCACGAAGGCAGCAATAAGCTTTATTCAGTGGCTTCTGTTCGAAAGGATAGTTGAGGATGCCAACGGTCATACTGATAACTAGAATTGTGCCAAAACAAATACAGTAATGCACTCCATTTTTAGCGTTGGTGGACCATATAGGATTTGCAAAGATATTAGATTTTAGGATTTAAACACTAGGATATTTGGCAAAAGGAGAATTATATTCGGTAGCTTATCAAAGGTCTGAGGGTACGAAAACGGGGTGAAGTACTGTGGTTCGAAAAGTTAAAGCTGTTACAGCCCATTTTCCTTTAAAAAAATTCCAGTACTGAAAAGAATAGAATTCTAATATTTTCTTAATAATGGAATTTATCTACACAGTACTTGTAATTGGACTAGAGTAGGTGCTGTGGCGGTACAGTAGTACGCAATTAGGGCCAAGTTGAGCGCTGGACCGCCAATTGGCCAATTTAACCCATTCGTCACGCTTCACAGTACATGTGCTTCAGTTCGACCATTCATTTACAATATCGTAGCTTGCCGGCTGCAACGCCATCCTTGTGCTATTTGTTCAGTCGGACAATTTAATCGAGCCTGTAGTGCCACCCATGTACAAGGAGAACTTGGAAGCTGACCAGGTCAGTGTAGTACACGTACCTTGAAGGCAAAATCGAGTAACATATACGGTACAGAGTAAAAAAAGCCATTGGCTCATCACTTCAATTTGAACTTCAGTCTGAACTGTTCATTTGCATCATGCAAAGCGTTGGGTTTCTTGACCATCAAGTTGATCTTCCCACAGAACGCTGGATCGTATAAATGTGCTTCAAGAGCTGTATATGCTGTTCGTGATCCCTAGTATTTATAAACGTTGTTGGTTCGGTTGTAGGCTACGGCAGCATATAACGGTACATTTTCGACTGACACCTTCACTGAACTTTTAGAGCACTTTTTTTTTTTTTAAATAATCCTACATTACTAGAACTAGCATTGACCACCGGCACAGTCTCCAGTCCATCGCACATACAGTTAATGGATTGTAGAGCGCATCAAACGCAGGGGTGATGCGAAGAGATGCGGAGTTGGGTATCTACACGTCCGATGGCGTTTTTCCCGTGAACACATATCAAACAGTATCGCGAAGACTGTAAGGTATTTTTTTTTTTGCAGAATCCGTCATTTTACACAGATTTTTACCTAGCGATCACAATGAAATTGGAGGCCAAATTAGTTTGGATTTTACCGCCGACAATGAAATGATCTATTGGGGGACAAGTTAGAATGAGCAAATCTTTTAGCATTATAAGTGTATATCCATGACCTATAGATTTTTGTTTTACCAACAAACAAAGCACTGAGCTTGTTGTGCTATACGACCATGACAACGCCAGAAGAGAGTAAGTCAGACCCGCTGTTGTAAAATTCTTAAAGGTGAAACAAGATTTTGATTCTAGCCCCCTTAGCTTACGATAATAGAACACGACAACATTAAATTTCTTGTCTGAGATTAATACGTTTTTGGCAACTCATCATAAATTAAAAGAGCAGTGTAGGAGCCGAAATCCACTCATACTTGCTCCAGTGTGCTAACAACTGAAATGCAATGCCTCTCCAGACACCGTCCTGCTCTACAGTACAAATACTGGCTGCGCAGCTACGCGGTTTCCATCGTCGCATTTGTCAAGAGCTGTACCAATATCAGCAAATATCAGCAAACAGCAGCTATTATAGCTGCTGTTTCCTTGCGCTGACAACCAACTTCAACGAGTACCCTTTTATTTATTGGAGGGCAGGTGTGTTGCTCCATTGTGCATCGTGCACCCGCTCTTCTGACAGGGGGATGCTCCGGTATGATCGGTACAGTAGATGATCGGAAAAGACTAAAACTTCATGAAAGATTAATCTGTGGGTATGTCACAGTATGCTGTTAACTGCAGGGTGGAATGTGCAAACTCGGTGGAGACGCCGAAGCATGGTCCAGCGCACAGTACCAGTTAGCTCCAAACTCCTGTTTGCCACGACAACTCGAGCGGGAGCTTCAAGAGCCGTTAAGCACTTCAATACCCCCCTTTTTCGCAAATCCGGTGTTGGCTCTTAGCTCTTTTCTGTCGATCGTTAAAACCAACATCTCGATGTATGGACGTCCAACTTCCGCTACAAAAGGGGCTGTAGCATGCTCTCTACAATTGGGACTCAAAATGATATGCCGCGGCACAACTTGTGCCGCACAAGCAAGCACGCTCGAGGCAATCATCTCCATTTCAGCACCGCCATTCAAAGGTGCTCCGACCCCGTTGTTGGTCTTGATTGACCTGGAGGTTGCCATCCAGTACCGGTGGTTTACGTCAGTCCAACGGATCTGGTTTGCAACGCTCCACATGGTCAGTATGGTACTGTTGCGATGGGATGCCCGCAAGTGTGCGGTGTGTGGCGTCCTATCAGGTGGCTTGCCGCTTTTTGCGCTCTTTTCTGTCCTAAATTGACCTTTTTTGGAATCCGGTGCAATGTGAACCAGCGATCCTAAGGGGATGCTTTCCTCAGTTGTATTTTTAATTTTGGACAGAAACGCTACGACTTACTAAAATTAAGACAAACCTTAGTATTATTTAGAAGTAAATTGTATATACACATCTCAGTTTGTGGAGAACTATCGAGATTTGAGGAGGGACAGCAATCATCAAAGTCGTGGGGGGGACTCGAGGCTTGATCGACGACGCTGTTGTCACGCGAGATACGGAGCGTGACTTGCTTGTGGTACGTTGTACATGTAGATGGGTAAACGATCAGGTGAAGTCGGCAGAGCGCCCCACCCCCTTCATGTTGTAGATCCTCGCGCCGACAGCTGAAAGTCTCCGTTCATTCCTCAATTTGCCTCGTCGGTCGCAGTCCACCCAGCCAGCCACCCAGCAAGCAAATTTCGCGATGGCCATTAACGTCAACGACTATCAGGCCATGGAGCCTGAGCCTCCCGTGAAGAAGTCCTTCACCCGCAAGATGCTCACGTCGCTGACCTTCTGGATTCTGGCTGGTATGGCTGTCGGAATCCTGATGGGCCAGTTCGCCCCTGATTTCTCAGAGAAGGCTGCCCCCATGAAGAACATCTTCCTGCGTACCGTGCAGTTCATCGTGTTCCCGCTTGTGTTCTCGTCGCTGGTTGTCGGTATCGCCGACCAGAAGGACATGAAGCAGCTCGGACGTTTGGCCATCAAGTCCATCATCTACTTCGAGATCGTCACCACGATTGCGTTGATTCTCGGCCTCTTCGCTGTCAATATCGTCAAGCCTGGCAACGTGGGTCTCACCCAGGGCGAGGAATACGAGAGTGAGTCCGAGTCGAGCCTCACTTTCGAGAAATGGATCAGCCACTTGACCCCCAAGACGTGGGGCGAGATGATGGGCGGCTCGGGCTCATCCGAGCTGCTTCAGGTGCTTGTGGCCGCCATTCTGACCGGTGTGGCCACGTCTCAGCTCAAGGAGGAGCCCAAGCGTCTGATCATCGACTTCTCCCGTGCCGTTCTAGAGATGATGTTTAAGTTCGTCGACATTGTCATCTGGACGGCTCCTATTGGTGTGTGCTTCGCTATTGCTGACGCGATCGGATCGAACGGTCTGTCGGCTCTTGGCAGTCTTGGCGCCCTCGTTGCTACTGTCTACGTGACGATCCTCCTGTTCATTGTTGTAGTCTTCGGCTCTGTCTGCATGATGTTTAAGATTAACATCGTCGAGTTCCTCGTTGCTATGCGTGAGCCGCTCATCATCGCCTTCACGACGGCCACGTCTGAGGCCGCTCTGCCCAAGGTGTTCGACGCCCTCGAGAAGTACGGTGTGTCCACCCACGTCTCGGGTTTCGTTGTGCCGTTCGGCTACTCGTTCAACCTCGACGGCTCGACCCTCTACCTGTCGCTGGCTTCGGTCTTCTGCGCTCAGGCTTCCGGTATTGACAAGTCGATCGGTGAGCAGATCGTCATGGTTCTCATGCTCATGATCTCGTCCAAGGGTGTGGCCGGTGTGCGTTCGGCCACGCTCATCGTCATCGCGTCGACGCTCGACCAGTTCGACATCCCGTCGTGGCCCGTGGCTCTGATCCTCGGTGTGGACTGGATCATGGACATGCTGCGTACCCTCACGAACGTCATGGGTAACTGTCTGGCCTCGGTTATCATGGCCAAGATGGAGAACGAGTTCCGCACGGAGGAATGGAAGAGTCTCCATGGACACGAGGACGACAAGATGAGCGTGATGGACGAGAAGATGAGCCACGTGTCGGCTGTGTCAGCCATCGAGGAGGCCCGCCGCTAAGGTTTAAGTGCAGGATGTTAGTACTGTTTGGCAGTACGATGCAGCGCAACTGTAAGCATGGAGTGTCCCGATATACCAATAATGTTCAAATTCTGTTTGTATTTTCAATTGCTACCCCACGAGTTCATTGCACTTTCATTTCATTCATTGCTAATCTAATCGTTGGCAGAAGAAAGGTGACAGCGATCAACGAATACAATCTGAATATCTGACGGATAGATTACTGGTGGACTGAAATACTACAAGTATTCTTTATTTATAATAACATTGGAATTGAACCACAGGGCATTATCCGTCTTTGATACAAACTAGCCATTCAGGAAATGATGACATCGTTTTGCACTGTTAGCCGCACATGACTTAGTGTGGAAATAGCTCTCTAGTGTGCTGACACCGCGTCTTAACCAAGTGCTAAACCAGTGACTTGGTTTTCTAAGTCGCTTCGTGGCACAAGTTTGAATAATTTTGTCGCAACCTCGACTCAAGTGTGCGTCGCGACGGATGTGGGTGAGTCCTCTCACTCGCTGACACAGATCCGGTTGCCACAGAATGGAGGTGAGCCATATAGGGCTGGTACAAGAGAATAAAATCGATAGTTTACTTTCAGTAGTAGTGTTTGACGTGTAGTATTATAGTACTTCCAATAACATTTCTTTTTTCATGATAGCTGTACATGTAGAACGGAAATAATTTACTACTGGATTTGAATCAGCTAAATTACTTCTATTTTCAGCTATTTCAAATGTAGTGATAATTTAAAACTGTAGAACATGACTCAAATGTGTATCATTTTACACCGGTAATTTAACCTTATCGTACTACGTCTTTCTTAAAGGATAAAAATACTATATTGTCTCACTGAGATATAATATAGTATTTTTATCCTTTTAGATCGTTCTAAGCGTACACTTTATATTACCGGTTAAACGTCACGTCTGTGGCAAAAGTCTTCGGTTACACAGGCAAATTGGTCATCTCTATGACCAGTTGGAGTACGTAGTACATACAAAACGAAGATAGCGCAAAAGACTACTACCATGAAAAATACAAAGGGTGTGTGAACATTTCGATTATCGCTGCACAAGCACTGACACTGTCTTACATTTCACTCTGTGCTTCTCAGTTACGTCCTTCTTCAAGGCCCGACACAGCCGACACGTAGCTCATTTTTCCTTCAATAACGCTAACCTTATCCTCACCATGCAGCATCCTGCGCTCACGCTCCCATTCCTCCGTGCGGAACTCGTTCTCCATCTTGGCCATAACAACCGACGCCAGACAGTTCCCCATGACATTCGTTAGGGTACGAAGCATGTCCATGATCCAATCCACGCCCAGAATAAGAGCCACTGGCCACGACGGGATGTCAAACTGATCCAAAGTCGAAGCAAGAACAATGATCGAAGCCGAGCGAACACCAGCCACACCTTTCGACGAGATCATGAGCATCAAAACCATAACAATCTGCTCGCCAACAGACTTGTGGACACCCGCAGCCTGAGCACAGAAGACAGCAGCGAGCGAGAGATAGAGCGTCGAACCATCCAGATTAAACGAGTATCCAAACGGCACGACAAAACCAGAAATGTGTGTCGCCACTCCGTACTTCTCCAATGCATCAAACACCTTGGGCAACGCGGCTTCAGAGGTAGCAGTAGTATACGCAATGATAAGTGGTTCTTTCATAGCTACAAGGAACTCAATGGGGTTGATCTTAAACATGAAGCAGACAGCGCCGAACACCACGACGATGAAGATGAAGATAGTTACGTAAACCGTGCCAACCAATGCGCCTAGACTCCCCAAAGCTGATAAACCGTTTGACCCGATTGCGTCAGCAATAGCGAAGCACACTCCAATAGGAGCTGTCCAGATGATAATATCCACGAATTTAAACATCATTTCTAAAACTGCGCGTGAGAAATTAATAATCAAATATTTGTGCCCATCGCTGAGCTTTGACGTCGCGACGCCAGTGAGGACAGCAGCAACAAGAACTTGGAGCAATTCGGACGAACCAGATCCGCCCATCATCTCACCCCAAGTCTTGGGGGTCAAGTGTTCGATCCAGGTCTCGAACGTAAAACTTGAACTGGAATCGCTGTCGTAGTCGGCACCTTCGGTAACCCCGACTTTACCGGGTTTCACGATATTAACCGCTAGAAGACCGATGATCAGCGCAATTGTAGTAATGACCTCAAAGTAGATAATGGACTTTAGAGCCAAACGGCCGAGTTGTTTCATGTCCTTCTGGTCGGCGATACCGATGACAAGTGACGAGAATACGAGCGGGAACACGATGAATTGGATCGTGCGAAGGAAGATGTTCTTCATGGGAGCAGCCTTCTCCGAAAAGGTGGGAGCGAACTCGCCCAAGATGATACCGATGATCATACCCACGATAATCCAGAAGGTCAGCGACGTGAACATCTTGCGGGCGAATGACTTCTTTTGGGGGGTTGGAGGGTCCATGGCTTCGTAGTTGTCGTTGATGGCCATTACGTGCTTGCTTTGGTTGGTAGAGTGCGGCCGAGGAGGGAAGTTCGAGAATGAACGGAGAGTGTGGGGGTCATTGACGCTGGTGGCGAAGTCGCTCGCACCCGATCGTTGACCCATCTACCTGTACCGCAAAGCTTAGTTCCGTATCTCTTGACGTTGAAGGTGTACCTCCTCAACCGTAAGAGTGTCCCTCCTCAATTCTCAGATGCAACATGGGGGTGATATGCTTAATTTTTATTTATTAATCCTTGGAACGGCAGTCGAGCATCTACTGAAAGATCTGTGTGTGCGTTACGGTACATCTAAGGACAATTACACAAGAATCTAAACTAAGGACAACTACACAAGAATATACCAGGTGCGGCCTACCTGGTGTGAGGCATGCGCAGGTTTGCACGCGTTCGGAGCTTAAAACGGTGCCGGAAGTGGACAGTGTACACGTGTACAAATACATGCATGGAAGCGGGCGAGTAAGCATCCCCCCCCTCTACATGCAGCGTGCAGAGAAGCGCATAGGTGGACGACACTCACCCCGTCAGGCGCTGCCTTGAAGCTTTCTCGCAGCAACACGAGAGGCAAGCTTCGAGCCTTTATTCACTGAGCAGTGTAGTCTAGACGTGATCGAGCCGATTGCATTTATGACCTATTTTGACTTACATTTTTGCCTGATAACGTGGATTAAAACAAGTACAGCATATTGTGACATATTAGGAATTGCTACGGTAGATTTTATTCGAACTCAACATGATTACTATTGTATAAAATGAAAATAAATAGCTGCCCGTGTGGCCATGAAGAGAAAAAAAAAAACAGCACTCATGCACGTTGGCCCGCTATCATTGCTCTATTAAGTTTGTTTGGGACGATAAATGATTGTGCAGACTCGAGTTACTAGCTGTCCACGGAATCAACGATGAGCTACAGTAGCCATATCCTTTATGAATGCAGTTGACTTGATCTCGTGATCCACTTTAACCTTTTTTAAAGGTACTACCCTCAAGGTATCCAAGTGTGATCGAGAACCTTTTGTTGCTTCCTCGTCAATGACGAGTCGTCATGTGTGTCAATCGCACTCAAGGCCTTCGACTCCAAGCGTTATGTGTTATTATGATTGTATACTGCGAACACAGTTGATCCTTCGACATAGGTCTTTGGGCGCGGCAAAGAGGGCACGAGGGTCCCGTGTCCCGACTATCTTGTGCACACGTGATAGGATACAGTGGGAGAGTACACGTTGACGACGTTTTCGTCAACGGAAGTTACCCCACGGTACTACCGTCGGTAGCCTTCTAGCAAGGCAGAAGAATATAAATCGCCGTCGCTCTTGGGTCAGAGTCTCCGATATGGCAAACCAATCTTCTTCTCACGAACGGCAATTTCCAATGCTTCTTCTCTCGCAACACCTTCGAAATCGAGAACACGTTTTCTCATTCTAGAATCCGACACATCCAGCACAAGCCACCTTGAATATGGTGTATTTTTCCCAGACGGCACTGACGGAGTCTTCGTCGAACTGGTATATGTACTAACCTCTGAAGTCGATGGACTGCCACGTCAGCTCGTACATTAGTCTCTATTTGGATGCTCTCCTTGGTGACAGCAGGTTAATGGTGCATCGACCTTTTCCGCGGTTTTGACTTTGGCTGCTGCGTCGCTCGCTGTTGAAGTGCTCTCTCGTACGCCGCCACGATCGCTTTACTCTCAATAACTTCCTGCTCCGGTGTTGACCAGTACTGTGGCTTCTCCACCACCATAGCAACTCGACTTGTTAGTCTAGACAGTACAGATCTAGGAGCTTCAGGTGCTGAGTCCGTTGATTCATGAGACGCGAACGACGTGAGAGCCTTTCGAATTGATTCCAATCCGTGGATCGGCTTCTGATCAAGCGGCTCGTGATCTCCAGCGATGTCTCGAAGCGAAAACTTAGCAGGACGGCGGCCATCGTACCACAAAGGTTTGTACGACACATCGTCTGTGTCGTCGTGAGTTCGAAGCGGCTGGATGGCAATGTAAGCTTCAAACGAGAGCTTCAGCTCCAGTCGAGGGTCGTAGATACGAGCGACCTTGTCTTTGTCGATATCGCAGCGCATCGCTCGTAACGGCAGGTTCATGTAGAAGCTCTCGACGGCCTTCTCGAGTGCTTGTTTGGGTTGAAAAGTCTGGGAAACTTCTTGTGCTTTATCTCGAATTTCAGGTTGTAGAATGTGCTTGAAGGACGAGACCAACGACTCGACTGTGCATTTCCTCAGATCAATAGGCGGGATGCCGACACCTGCAGTCACACACATACAGGCCGCGTAGTACTGGGACGATACACTCACGCAGATTCCAACCGGCTTGCCCGCTGCAAGTCCCTCTTCCACGATAGCAGGCTCACCCCAGTGGATCGTAGCCGCCACCTTGCGAAGGATCAGAGAATACGGGAAATCACTCTCCACTTCGTAAATATTCTCCGAGTGGTAAAGTGAACGACCGGATCGCCCTTCACGCGCTTGGAAGATGATTTTAACGTTGGCCTGCTCGGCCGCTTCGTCAATCTGGCGCAACAGTTGATCGATCTGTAGTGACTCCAAGCAGTACGTTGACACTCCAAAGTAGAGGACGGGGTTGCAAGTTTCCAGTGTAAAATCGTTCAGAGATCGACTCCACTTGAATTTGCGCATCTTTTCCATTTCGCGCTCGTCTTTGAGCGTCACGTAGCCTGCCACACTGAGCTCTCGTCCCCAATCCACTGGACGCTGTAACAATGAGGGATTCCAGAGGTACACGTGAGGAATACGCCATTCCACCAGAGGACTAGCCTGATGGCAGTGTCCTCTGAGCCCAATGCGCTCTCGAAAATCATTCAAGATGTCTTCCATCCCTCGCCACAGCACCGTATCCACCACCCCGTATGATAACCAGTTCGTCTTCTTGAACTCTCGACCAAGTTGACTGATATCGTCCATGAGGAACGCACTCAACACATGAGGCATCGCAAAAGTCGGAGATAACGGCACCAAACTAAAGCACTGGAGAGGAATCCCCAGTCGTTCTGCTATATGGATGTGACCAAACAGCAGCGGATGCCAGAACAAGGCATCTGCTCGGAAATGCTCTCCAGGAATGTTTTGGCCGCGACCGTGCGGATCAGCGCCATTCGCTGCAGGCCACAAAGAGTACACGAGATCCTTGAAAGGGCCTAGAACAGGACGACCAGCCTTGTGCTTCTGGATGACGTTCGCATTCTTCGTGTCATGCAGATACTTGATAAAGTCGTGGATGTTCTTTACGGCGCCAGCCAGCGGGTAGAACTCCAAGCCGCGTTCAACGATATCCGCTCGGAACTCTTCATTGGCTGCAACCCGAACACGATGACCATCAGCAGCCATCCGCATACCAATCGCGACAAGCTGCTTGACGTTGTTATCCCATGTGCCGATAGTCGCAAGACAAATGTTCATCGACGGCACTGTAGTGCCCAAGAAGATCTTGAGAATACGCTCCGACTTGACCCTCTGCAGCTTGGAATACTGACGCCACTCCTCGATCTTCGACTCGCTGATAGTGTCGGGCGATTTAGGTCCGACGTTAAACTTGACGCCGATATTGCCTGTCGCTGTAAAGTCCGCAGAGAGAATGGATATCCCTTCTCTCGGTGATGATTCACTCTCAGCGTCCGAACCGTTGGATGAAACTGAGGAGTTCCGATCAATGCGGTCAAGAGAATCTCGATGATTCTCCTTCTCGCTCATGATCTCACGGAATCGCGCTTGATACTTCAGTTTATCTTCATCCGACACGTTTAGCTCCACTTTCCTGCGCACTTCTCTCTTGGGGCCAATGCATCGGTGCGTCTCGATCTCTTCAGTGCTGCCTCCCGACGTGTACGAGTCAATCAGACCGTTCTCCTTCCCTAAAGCCGCCATGAACGTCTTGTCGAACACACTTCCACGCTTCCTGCGACCGGTTTCATTGAAGTAATTCGCATGGCCTGCTGCAATATGATCAGCGAACAACGCAACGCCATGCACTGGGCGGATCACGAGTCCACTCACACCTTTCACGACTCCAATCACCGCTCCTTTGGGGCCTTCTTCACGGAATCCTCTAGCAGGTTTCACTACCACATCTTTAAACGCACCGCCCAACTCGTGGAAAAACGCTGCTGCACCTGCCGATGCCCCTGCAAAGCCATGAGCCGGTCCACGAGCCGTATAGTCCACGAAATGATAGTCTACTACCTTTCTCGCGAAGTTCTGCGGTTGCGAGGCGATCACAAAGTCACAGACCTCACAGAGCTTCAGTTTGTTCTTCCGACACCACTTGGTCGCCACTCGAACATGATCCAGATCGCAGCGCATGTCTTGTACCGGTAAATGGCGGTAGAAACAGCGAACTGCTTCTTCCGCACCGTCCTCCTGCTGCATTTTCTGTTGAATTCCCAGTGCTCGACTGCGCATCTCAGTGCTTTGTAGACTTTCAAATGCTGCACGCAGTTTCTCCGTCGTCAGCTCCTCGATCGGACATGGCGTCACGCCTACACCTGCTCGCTGCACAGCCCAGCCCCAGAACGGCTGGTCTCCGAAGAACGGGACGATGAACGTCGGTTTCCCTGCCAGTAGACCCGCTGCTGTCGTGCCTGCTCCTCCATGATGAACCACAGCACTCACACGGGGCATCAGCCAGTCGTGTGGGCAATTACCCAGGAAGAAAATGTTATCAGGGATCGTCAAGTCTCCAGCCATGTCACTCCAGCTCGACTGAATCAATACACGCACATTGGCTTGTTTTGCAGCCTCAATGATCATCTTCGTCGTGGCTTTCGGGTCTTCCAGCACCATCGAGCCAAAGCCCACGAAGATCGGACCTTCGTCAGTGCCCAAAAACGCCTCCAGCTCTGGCGTCGGTGTGTACGACGACGCCGTTCCTTTGAGCACCACAGTCCCCACCACATCATAGAGATCTCCCCAGTCTTTCGGCTTCGGAACCAGCTCCGGACTCCACATAAACGCATGAGGAATATGCAGGTCCAGCAGAATATCACGTCCACCGTCACCTTTGCGGATCTTACGCAATCCCAACACTTCAGTGCGGAATTCGTTGACGATTCCTTCAGTTCCTTGCCACATGAGCAAATCCACGAGCTTGTAGGATAGATAATTCCTCTTCTGTGCCTTGCCAGTGTACGGCATATTGGCCAGTGGATGAGGGAACGCTGTTGTAGGCACCCACGGCTGTGGGAACATTATATGCAGAGGTACTCCCAGGCGCTCAGCCACGTGAATGTGGCCGTACGTGACGGGATTCGAGATAATAGCTTGAGCTCTGAATGGCTTGCCCTTCACACCTGGACCCCCTCCTTCCGGGTCTGCAGCAGACACGGCTGGCCACGTAGAGTGGAGAATCTCGTCGATCATCTGTAAGTTCCGCGGTACGTCCTTCTGTATCGTCTCGACTTTAGTTGGGATGAGATGGCCGCCGGTTTTGACCATATAGGCTGCTAATTCCTTGGGATCGCCGCCTAAAGGGTAGAATTCTACCCCATAACTCGTTACAAAGTCTCGATAGATAGCGTGGGTGGCGAGTCTCACGCGATGTCCGTCTTGTTGCAGACGCTGAGCGATGGCTAGGAAGGGCTGCACGTCTCCTCTGGTCCCGACGATCATAATGCAGATGTTCAGTTGTGGCGGGCCATTGAGTGAGGCTCTTTCCAACAGGAGATCGTCCTCCTCGTCGATGGTGCTCCTGGATCTGCGGCGTAGCGCGTCCAAGTCGATTTCTTCCTCTTCGGCCACGTCCACTTTGATTCGCCCGTCGGGTCCGTGCACTGCGATGCCAGCTGTACGAACATCTTCTGACGGAGGGGCGATGGCAAGCGCCTTGGATTCCTTGTGGAGAGTGGCCTTGAAGCGCTGGTTCCACTCGTGGAACTTGCACTCGCGAGGCATCGCGACTTGGATGCGGAATGCAGAATGACGGATGACGAGCTGCGGTGCCAGATATTTGTAGCGGAGCTTTTCACTTGGTGTTTGTAAGGAATGCTATGTTCACGGCGACTGGGACAAAATCCATAAAACCCTTGGGTGTAATCTGGCCTAAACATCTCGATGTTGATGCGGTGAATTTTCTGAGACGTGAGGATGCGCGTCATATTGGCTACAAATCACTAAATCACTAACGGTGTATTTATTTGATCACTCTAAACTAAACTTACCATTTGATCGCTCCACCTCCCGTCTGAATGAGTATCCTAAACTTTTCTAATCTCTATCTCGACTGCTATACGAACTGGACGAGTTGATCTTCATCTGACCGGAACGACATCCCACGACGTGAAGCACGAGAGCAGCAGGAACTGGCTGATGTCCCGCACGACTCCACCGACGTGGTTCAAGCACGCGATAGTCCAGCCAATCTCCTGTAGGAACACAGCAGCGCCTGTTGGCGTGACTCGTGTAACGTTCGTCAGTTCTTGACCTCTGGCTGCGTAGTCCACGGAGCGACGTAGAGGTAAATGCATGTAGAAGCTCTTGACCGCTTCCTCTGCACCGTTCTCTTTCTGCATTCGCTTCTGGAGTCTCAGAGCGCGATTGCGCAAGAACGGACTCTGCAGCTCTTCAAACGCATCTCGAAGCTTCTTCGTCGTCAGTTCAGTGATCGGACATGGCTCCACTCCAACGCCAGCTTTAACCACAGCTCGGCCCCAGAACGGTTGGTCTCCGAAAAATGGCACAATGAACGTCGGCTTGCCAGCTAGCAGACCTCCAGCTGTAGTACCAGCACCGCCATGGTGTACGACGGCAGAGCAACGTGCCAGAAGCCAATCGTGCGGACAGTTTCCGATGAAAAAGACGTTGTCTGGGACGTCGAGATCGCCAGCCATATCCGTCCAACTCGACTGGATCAGCACTTTCACGTTCGCCTGCTTCGCCGCCTCGATGATCATCCTGCTCGTTGCAAGTGGATCTTCAAGCACCATCGATCCAAATCCAACGAAAACGGGCCCTTTGCCATTACCTAGAAACGCTTCAAGCGCTGGAGACGGCGTGTACGAGGAATCTTCAGTCTTCAGCGTCACCGTTCCAACAACATCGTACAGATCGCCCCAGTCGAAAGGTTTCGGTACCAACGACGGACTCCACATGAACGAGTGAGGGATATCCAAGTCCTGGAGCATTTCTCGACCGCGTCCTCCCTTTCTGATGCGAGGCAGACCCAGTACGTCACTTCTGAAAGTATTGACGAGGCGTTCCATACCCTCCCACATCAACAAATCCACGAGTTTGTACGACAGATAATTCCTCTTCTGCGGTTTGTCTTGATACGGTAGATTCGACATCGGGTGGGGGAACGCCACCGTAGGCACCCATGGCTGTGGGAACATGATATGCAGAGGCACACCGAGTTTCTCTGCTACATGGATATGTCCGTACGTCACGGGGTTGGAGATGATGGCTTGTGCTGTGAACGGACAACCAGGAACACCCGGCGCTTTGCCGTCTGGATCGGGAGCAGACACTGCAGGCCATGTGGACATCAAGATGTCCTCTAAAATCTGCATCTGTCTCGGAACATCCTTCTGTAGCGTCTCTAGATTAAGTGGAGGGATGAGTCTCCCTCCGGTCTTCACCATGTAGGCTGCTAGTTCCTTGGGATCGCCGCCTAAAGGGTAGAACTCGACGTCATGACTGGTTACGAATTCTCGATAGATTTTGTGCGTGGCGAGGCGCACTCGATGTCCGTCTTGTTGCAGTCGCTTGGCAATGGCCAAGAACGGCTGCACGTCGCCTCGTGTACCGACGATCATGATGCAGATCTGCATGGCCGACGGACACACGATCGATGCTTGGCTGTCCTTAACATTGGTCTGTTCTGCTACTGGTTTGCGACTGTTGTTCACCTCTAGTCTGCAATCTGCCAGCGTCTTGCTACGTGGTCGCGAGCGTCTTCTCAGTGTCGAGTGCTCTCCCGGTCCATCTTCACAAGACGAGGAGCCGTCCGAGACCTCTGTAATATCCTCACTCTGGGATCGGGTGCGAGCATCCGGTTCGTACTTTTGCCACGTGAAAAAGGATCGGAGCTGCTCGTGCCAGGCCTGGAAGAGCTGGTCCAGTTGTTGCAGCCGCTCGAAGAGTACGGGCCAAGTGGAATTGTTGTTCTGCGGTGTTTTAATGATTGGCGAGTCGTGCGGAGAGTGCGAGAAGAGCGACTTGAAGAACTGGTTTGAGTCCTGGCAATGGAGAGTTAGTAGAAATGTTGTTGCTGTTTATTATGGGGGTGGAAAACCTACTCCGAAGTTCCATGTCTGGGCCACCATGTTGGCTTGCACTGGATGAGGTAGAATCTAGACTGAGAAAACCATGAGAGGGACCCATCAACTGCGCTTCACCGTTTAGAATGTGTTGGGAGAGAAGGTTAGCGTTGAGAGAACTTTGACGTCGAAAGCATCCGCATTGTGATAATGATAAAGGAGGGACTATCCAATGGCAACTGAGCGAGTCTCAAACAGATAATCTCTATTGCACCGTTGGTTGCGAAGTAGTATTGCCTGCTTAATGGTGGTTGTCAGTTAAGCGGTATGAATGTCCAGTGTCACCAGCAGGAAGACAGGTTGGAAGATATGTTGTGTGCGAATAGACGAATTTGAATTGCCTAGCAGCTCGAGACAACGGAGTGGCGGTATCACTAAGAAATCCGCACAACACACAAGCGAAACTAAACGAAGTTATTATCTTTTATCATAAAAAAGCAGTCGTGCGCTTTAACTAGCGGCACGTGACTCGTTTTCGAAGAAGAGAGAGGAGGAGAAGATCAGTGACTAGCAGAGCAAACAGCATCAGCGGCGCTTCCGTATCGACAGCTAGGCAGCAGCATCTTGGCTGCTTGAAACCGCGACTAGCTTTAAATTTCGCCGACATGGAAGATAACGACGCGGATTAATCGTCGTCGTCGCTGCCAAGAACTTTGTCGTTCGCCTTCCTGGCATAACCCTTGATCGTGTCGGTCCACGAGTCCGCCGTTTCCTGCACCTTGGACGACATATCCGACGCCGTGCTCTTCGCCTTGCTCTTGGCTTCGTCCTTTTCCTCGCGTGCGCGGTTTCGTGCCTTACGCGCACGGGACTTGGCGTCGTTCGCCATCTCGTTTGACTTGTCCTTGACTTCGTCCATCCAGTCGTTGTCGACGTTGCGCTCGAGCTTGCGCTTCCCCTGCTCCTTACGGCGCTTCATCACATCCTGCACGCACTGGCGGTACTCGTACGTCTCCTGTTCGCAGTCAGATTGATCCCAGGATCCGCCCCAGAGCTTCTGGAACCAGTCGCCGTAGCAGGCCTTCACACGTTCCTTCTGTTCTTGGCACTCGGAGAATGACATCGTTGTTATGCGCAGCACTGGGAATAATTGGCAATGAGCATGAGGACAATGAAAGCACAGCTCTCAGGCAGGCGCTACGCCGGCGGGGACGCCGTCCGACTTCCGCGGGACGCGGCGCGGGGGGTGTCGCGGACATCGGCAGCCCTCGTTGGCATCCTTTGTTGCAACTTCAAAAAGACGCACCCTTTCGACCTCCGGTATCTAATAATGTCAGAAAAGGAGTTTGGGTTAGCAAATTACTGTGTTATTATATATCCTTTGTAAATAGATATATCAACCGTTGGAAAGATAGTGGCTGGTTTTGTATGCGCGGGTAACAGAAAGCTGCAGTCGCAACCACTGAAAAGCGTCGGCGATCGGATTTTGCAGGGTTGCAGAGGACACAATAAAGCTACCACCCCGTATGTATGTGTCGAAGCGGTCACTTGGATTCACTAAGTCAAGGAAGGGCCAGACTGTCGTACACTGTACTTGCCTCTCTCTTTTCAGTCCCGGTTCTTTGCTCCCTCTTTCACAGTCAAGCCAGCGGCAAGCCCGACCGACACCGGGCGCTTCTGGTCTTATTCGTCGAGCCACCATCGCCGTCGCTCGTCAGACTCATCCCCAGTGTCTTCCAGGATGCCTCCCACCGGCCGCAGCTTCCGCAACATGATGCGCGGCAACTCGTCGTCCGAGTCTTCGAGCATGTCGGACGAGAACGAGATCCAGATGCAGGGCTGGATGCGCAAGCAGAAGGAGACGCTGCGCTCGTGGGCGCGACGGTACTTCACACTGAACGGCAAGGTGTTGACGTACTACGACAGCGAAGACACAAGTCGCGGCGCGCGCGGCATCTTGGAGTTTGTGGACGTGACACCGCTCACTACCGAGAATAACGGACTGTCGCTACACTTGGTGAACGGCAAGGAAGTTCGGCTCATTGCAGACACACACGTGGCCTATGCGGCGTGGATGGCGGTGCTCTCAGCAGCCGTCAAGAGGCCGCGTACCAGCAAGAACCGCACCAGCAAGGAAGGCTGGGCCCACTGTCTCACGGACGACGATGTCTGGACACGCTTCTTCGTGGTGATCAAGCACGATAGTTTTAGCTGCTACGAGTCCGAGGACGACGACGCTGAGCTCGCTTTGTCCGGACTCATTCGCGCTGTGGACGAGTGGGACGGTAAGCGCTTCGGTATCGTGTGCTCGCTCAACCGCAGCCGTACCATCAAGCTGTGCTTCGACTCGGCCGAGGAGAAAATGTCGTGGTTCCTCACGCTTGAGTTCTCGGTCTCGTATGGTGCTGCACGGATGAAGAAGGAGGCATCAGTCAGGAGCAACAGCAGCGACCACAACCCCGTGCTGCGTGCCGACTCGTCCAAGTCGGACGTTGGGGCTGCTGCTGAAGAAGAAGACGACGATGGCGTATGGATCTAGTGATCGGAAGGAGAGAACGGAGCTGCTTGAAAGCGCTCTGAAACTTGCATAAAGACAAAGACCCGCCCTCCTGGGTCACGCAGCTCGAGTAAATATTGCGACCCGATCGGCTGCGACGAGTTTGTGGTCGCGCTTGTGGTCATTTTTCTTTTTTGGTAGTGCTGCTGCGAGAACGCTGTAAAGGAAGAGATTCATTTCGATGTAAAGATCAATAAATGAAAGTATACCAAGCCAGCTATAGCGTCGAGGTGTTCATTTAGATGCCTAGACAGGAAGCGTTTGCCTTTGAAGCAGGGATCTTCCGCTGATTACGGCGGAAATGGAACGTGGTCTTCAACCTGATACAGAACCAAAGCTTCTTGCAAAGCGTGTCAGATACACTCAACGTTCTCGTTGTGCAGGTGGCTGTTTGTTAGGCCAACAACAGCACGAGATCGCAGACAACGAGTAGCTGCTGTTAAGCAGCTATGAACTCATCTTCACCACCTCTTCATATGTCGAGCACTACAACAACTTGTAGTCTGTCTACAAGGCTTGTAGTAAAAGTAGAACCTTGAGGAGTTGTCCTGGATACGGGAAGTACAGTACTGAAGTACCGTAACTCAGTACCGTATCAACTACCATACCAGACATTGACAAGGCGGCCGCCTTCAACTGCAGTGACCTCGCCACACTCTTTCATTTTGCTTTTTCGTCACTATATATGTGTAGTGCATTGATGTTTTGCTGTGCTACTTGTACTGCCGGACGAATCTTATTTACAGCTTCGCCAGAGCAGCCTCCACTTCGGCATCGCTAGACACGACGAAGCTCTTAGTGTCGGCCTTGTTGAGCAACGCCTCGAACTTCTCCACATCAGCATCGGCATCCACCTTCTTTAGCAACGCAGCGGCTTCTGCGGAGGAAATGGATTTGACGCCCTTGCCAGCCTTGTCCACGAAGAAAGCGGCCTTCGGGTGCTCCACCAGGTTGTTACACGGCACATTCACAGCCGCGCCATCTTCCACCGCAAGTACGTGCTTCTTGGTCACCTTACTGGCAGCGTCCACGATCGCGCCGCCGAAGAGAGATGTCACACCCACAGAGTTCCAGATGTTCAGGTGAGCGCTGTAGAGCTGACCGTTGTTGATGGCTGCAGCGCGTCCAGCGCCCGTAGCGTTGAATACGAGAGCAGTCTTGTTATCCTTGACCAGAACATCAGCAGGAAGCACAAAAGACTCGGACTCGGCCACCTCCAGCAGCTTCTTCTTGGCCAGACCAATGGAATCCTTGATAGTGGACAGGTCGGCCGCTCCCGTGATCACAACCTTGACGAACGTAGCACCTTCGTCGTCGTTATCCACAAGCAATTGAGCCTGAGGCTGCTGGTCCTTGAATTCGCCGCCAGTGGCCACGTAGACCACAATGGGGCGAGCAGCGTGCACATCCTTGATGGGCACACGCACCAGCAGACTCTGAGCGAACAGCGCCACTAAAGGCGAGTCAGAGATCACACGCACACGCGTACGGTCGTCCTTGAAGGAGCCCACGGCGCCGTCCTGCGTGTACAGACTGGGCTCGGTGGACAGGTGCTCCGTCACCTTCTCGTACAGACCCTCGAAGTCGTTGAACACGATACTCACGTCCACCTCTTCAATCGCCACCTTCTTGCCAGCTGCCATATAAAAAAAAAAATAAAAAAACGCAACAATAAAAAAAAAACGATATGCTGTCCTTACCGGGTTTCTGCTGCTTGGCGAGCTCCGCCAGCTTGGGCCAGCTGAGGTTACGGAAGGCGTCACCGTGCGGCGTCACGTCATCGTCAGCGAGAGACCAGTTGAACTCGATGTTGAGACCTTCGTGCTCCTGCGGGAACTCCTGCTCGCATAAAATAATAAAAGTGTCATAACTACACTTCTGCTTGAGGCGGATCTTTGGCGGTTGTACGCACCACGACGAACTTGTCAGCGGCGTGCGGGGCGACGCTGAAGTTGCGGAGAAGAGCGCGACGCGCCGCGACCGAGCGCAGCGCCTGGAAGCTCTGGCGAAGGGCCATGTGGACAGGGATCAGGCTGCTGGAAGCTTTACGGTTCTGGGGGTCCGATCGTGCGGAGGGAAATGACCGGTCGTGAATTTGTTCGCACTTAAGAGGATTTCTGCCAACCATAGAGGAGTAAATGATTTTAGACCAATAAAAATGGCCCGTATGCTTTTGATTGCAGCAAGTTGCACTGCGTTATCATAAGCATGAACGTGCCACTTGCAGCCTGCGGTCTGGCGCCGTCAGTGCTCGGTAAGGAGGCGACGGAGGTGGATGGAGAGCTAGAAAAGGCTTCGCAGCAATCGGTGCTGTTATGGAGCAGTTTATTGATGTGTATTGTGCCGTATTTAACTGCAGCGGCGCTCTTGCGTGCGGGATTTCGGCATCAAAAAGACCTCGTGGACGTTTCCGCTCGCGAATTGGCCAGTGGTGGGTGGAAATACTCGTTTTCTCCGATGGAATTGGAGCGTTTTGAGCCTGAATGCTATACGACTGCTGTCCAGAGGCGAAGATTAACGTGAAAGATGCGGTGGAAGCGATTGAAATCGCTCGGAACGAGAAAAACTCCTCAGCAGTCGGCGATACAGCACTGGATCTGCTCCAGGTAGAGCGTGGTAGCTTTTTGGTTGTTGCTCTAGGAAATATTGGTGGCTAATACGGCTCTAGGAAGTGACGAGGAGCAAGCCGATTGCGACGAGGCTGCTGGGGTTAGATGGACTGCTGGGTGGTGGCTTACAGCGGGGTGAAGTCACGGAAATATGTAGGACCGGCTGTCGTGTATGCAATATTGCAACAACTAATAGTTTTTTATTTTTATTTTACTGAGGCAGGTGGTGGTCCTGGAACCGGGAAAACGCAGTTTGGGTGCGTTGCTACGTGTGGATATGCTGAATGGATGTGGGGAATGGAATTAAATCTATTCTATGATGGTGCGTAGGATCCACGCTTGCTTGGCAGCGCAGTATGTGGCGAATACCACAGACAAACCTTCATCTGCTATATTTATTGGTATGTAAGTCAGTGCGACGGGTATCTTGTGGTATAACTAATTGCGTTCATGGTCTCGCTACAGATAGCGAAGGCAGTTTTATCATCGAGCGTGTGGCATCGATGGCCACGCACTTTTTAGAGGATTTTCGCCACATCGGAGCGGACAAACTGGTACGAATGCCTTGTTAAAGCCTCTTCTTTAATAGTGGATTGCTAGTGCTGAGTTTGTTGACTACTGCTCTACCGTAGACACGAGACGATTTATTGCGAGGAATC